GGTATATAGGTTAAATCAGGGGTGTTTTCAACTGTGAACTCATGACCCACTGTGAAATCAGTTTAGTGAGTCAAAATCAGCATTTTAAAAAATGAAATAGAGTATAAAAGAAAAAAAGTCAGAAGAGGAATTCCCTGGTGGTCCAGTGGTTAGAACTTGGTGCTTCCACTGCCAGGGCCCAGGTTCAATCCCCAGTCAGGGAACTAAGTAAGACCCTGCAAGCCACATGGCACAGCAAGAAAAGAAAAAAGTCAGAGGATATCACTTATAGTAAAGATTAAGAACTGATTTGTGAAATTTTCTTTTCAACTGAGATGAATTTCAAAGAATGTTCATAAGAAAAGCTAGTCACTATGACTGCTATATAATTTAATTTATATATATAAGAAATGCGGGTTCGATCCCTGAGTCAGGAAGATCCCCTGGAGGAGGGCATGGCAATACAATCCACTATTCTTGCCTGGAGAATCCCATGGACAGAGGAGCCTGGCAGGTTACAGTCCATGGGGTCACAAAGAGTCTGACATGACTGAGCTACTTCAGCACACAGCACATGATGTTCAAAAAGGTAAAACATAAATTTTAATATTTCAATATTTATTTTATGAAACATTCATACATCAGGTACTAAAAAAACATTTAAAAAATACAATGGAATCATTAACACAAAATTCAGGACATCTGCAGGGGAAGGAGAGGGGGATGCATTTAGAAGGAGCAAACTCTGGGCTATAGAATTTCTTAAACATAATTTGTGTTCTTTTATATATCACTGTTTTTCAGAAGGCATAAGTATTTCTTGCTTTTGCTCTGTGCTATGTCAGAAAGAGACGGAAGTAGCTAGCCTAACTCAGCAGTGGAGATCGCTCTCATTCAGAACCAAGGAAGTTAAAGAAAGCTAAAAATTAAGCTGGGAGAAGGGAGAGAGACTGATAGACCTTAGAAGAAAGTTCAAATGGAAAAAATTAGGTTGGAGGGAAATTCAAAAACACAGACAAAGCAATACTGTCTATTGTATTTGGGTATGTATATGTGAAAGAAAAATAGAACATGGACTGAATCACTCCAAATTCATGAAAATAAATTTCCATGGACAGATTTTGCAGAGGAAAACAAGAGAGATAAACCTTACCTGTACTGTTCTATTTTAAATGTAAAATGTTAACCCATGTTAATTCTGGGGGTGGGTACATGGGTATATGCTACATTAACTCAATATTTTTCTATATTTTTTTGAAATACAGAAAAAAACTTTGCTGGTGAATATCCATTACAAATTTAAATATTCATACTTTTTTATTCTACTTCTAGGAATTTACTACAGATACACCTAGGTGCATGAGTGCTAAGTGCTAAGTCACTTCAGTCATGTCTGACTCTCTGTGACCAAATGGACTGTAGCCCATAACGCTCCTCTGTTCATGAGATTCTCCAGGCAAGAATACTGAAGTGGGTTGCCATTCCCTTCTCCAGGTCTTCCCAACCCAGGGATCAAACCTGGGTCTCCTGCATTTCAGGCAGATTCTTTACTGTCTGAGAAACCAGGGAAGACCTATTGGAGTGGGTTGCCATTTCCTACTCTAGGGAATCTTCCCAACCCAAGGATCTAACCCTAGTCTCTTGTGTCTCCTGTGTTGGCTGGCAGATTCTTTACCGCTGCACCACTGGGGAAGTTTATATATGTTCACTGCAACCCAATATATATATGGTGCTAAAACTTTATAGTCATTGAAAAAATTTTAACAAATGAAATGAATTTATATATGTTAATATAAAGAGTATCCAACTTATATTAAATAAAGATTGCTTGCATATGCATATTAAACACATATAGAATATACACATTTATCTCAAAATATATTTGAAAAGTATATTATATATAAAATATACACATTACATACATATTTATACTAAAATGTATTGTCTATATACACTTAGAACATCTCTGGAAAGAACACAAGAAATTAGTTAAAGGACAGGGGAAAAAGGGAAATTTATCTTGTTTCATATTTATCTGGGTCTTTTAATTCCATACTTCATATTTAAAAATTTTAAACTATTAGTACATATGACATAATACACAGAAAACATAATACAAAACAATGTACAACATAACTGTACTTTTGAAAAGCAAAATTTATATATGCCTAGAAAAATCTTGCAGATTACACCAATTTAGTAGTGATCCTATCTGGAGGGTAGGATTTAGAGGTCTTTTACTTTCTTCATGATATATTTTAATTATGTTTCAATTTTTCATGAGTATATATTACTAACATGATAAAATTATATTTTTAAAAACCCAAAAATCTTTGTATGGACATCAACAATGGAATGGTTCCAAATTGGAAAAGGAATACATCAAGGCTGTATACTGTCACTCTCCTTATTTAACTTATATGTAGAATATATCATGTGAAATGCTTGGCTGGATAAAGCGCAAGCTGGAATCAAGACTGCAGGGAGAAATATCAATAACTTCAGATATGCAGATGACACCACCCTTATGGCAGAAAGCAAAGAGGAACTAAAGAACCTCTAGACGAAAGTGAAAGAGGAGAGTGAAAAAGTTGGCTTAAAACTCAACATTCAGAAAATTAAGATAATGACATCCGGTCCCATCACTGCATGGCAAATAGATGGGGAAACAACGTAAACAGTGACAGACTTTATTTTCTTGGGCTCCAAAATCACAGCAGATGGTGACTGCAGCCATGAAATTAAAAGATGCTTGCTCCTTGGAAGAAAAGCTATGACCAACCTAGACAGCATATTAAAAAGCAGAGACATTACTTTGTCAACAAAATTCCGTCTAATCAAAGCTATGGTTTTTCCAGTAGTCACATTTGGATATGAGAGTGGGACCATAAAGGAAAGCTCAGTGCTGAAGAATTGATGCTTTTGAACTGTGGTGTTAGAGAAGACTCTTGAGAATCCCTTGGACTGCAAGGAGATCCAACCAGTCAGTCCTAAAGGAAGTCAGTCCTGAATATTAATTGGAAGGACTGATGCTAGAGCTGAAGCTCCAATACTTGGGCCACCTGATGCGATGAACTGACTCATTGGAAAAGACCCTGAAGCTGGGAAAGATTGAAGGCAGGAGGAGAAGGGAACAACAGAGGATGAGATGGTTGGATGGCATCACTGACTCAATGGACATGAGTTTGAGTAATCTGCGGGAGTTGATGATGGACAGGGAAGCCTGGCATGCTGTAGTCCATGGGGTCACAAAGAGTCAGACACGACTGAGCTGCTGAACTGAACTGAAAATCTTTGCAATAGATAAATATCAATCTTCTCTTTGGCACAATGAAATATTTACATTTTGATGCTAAAGTTTTTGTTACAGATACGGTTTTTCTTTCCCATATTGAAGGAAAGAGGTTTACTATTTTGTAAAGTTATTAAAAAAAAAAAAGAAAAACACTTAAGTTATTTTTCTTAGCAAGAGTTTTTTCCTCCAATAGCTTGGAAGATAATCTACTAGATATTCTTCTCTACTTATCATAAACTCTGTTTTAACTTTTCTTCATAAAGAGTTTTCTTGTACAATCATTTACTCCTGAGCAATATTGAATATAAAAAGTACCCTCATTGAAAGGGGCTTGGAATCATGTTTTTTCTTGTCATGTCTCAACTATTCTGAATATTTTTTATTCTCACTTGCATTTTAAAATGAGATTTTACAGGCAGGGAACAAATATGGAGAGTTGCCAGTCCAAATTAAGAAATATAAATAAACAGGGTCTAAAGGGAAACATTTTACTGAAACAAAAGTGTTTTCTTTCAGAAACAAAGGAAAAACAAAATTTGTTTTCAGGTGATACAGTTACAACTTACTAATCATGATTAATAACATTTACTGCAGTTCCTACAAGTTTTTTGAAAAATAAACAAAACTAAGGACTTCCTTGGTGGTCCAGTGGTTAAGAATCCACATTTCCACTGCAAGGGGCATGGGTTCAATACCTGATCAGGGAACTAAGATCCTGCATGCTGTGGTCAAAAAATAAATAAATAAAAATAAAGTTAAACTAAACTAAAAGGACATCTAGTCATAAACAGGAGGGAAAAAGTCTCTACCTTTAGCCTACTGGGCCAGGGGCTACAAAATACCATGTATGTGCTTAGTCATGTCTGACTCTTTTCGACCTCATGGACTGTAGCCTGCCAGGCTCCTCTGTCCATGAAATTTTTCAGGCAAGAATACTGGAGCGAGTTTCCATTTGCTATTCCCAGGGATCTTCCCCACCCAGGGATCGAACCCGCATTTCCTGCATTGGCAGGCAGATTCTTTGCCACTAGTGCCACCTGTGAAGCTCATAAAAATACTCATCTAGACATTTTCAAGCTAGAAAAACCTATCCCAACATGCAAGTCTGAGCATGGTGTCCAGCAGTATTTTGTGTCAATGGGCTTAGGGCGAAGAGAAAGCCACAACGACAAAAGGGTCACTGGCAAAGGATTTCCATTCTTTGATTCTTTTTGTTCCTTCCACAGTTCCTTACATTGTTTGATTTGAAAAAAGACTGCTGAAAAGGAACAAAAAAGAACTACAAAGAGGAAAACATGGAGGAGGTTAGAACTCAATAGTCCAGGACAATTTAAACAGAAAAGGATCAGGCAGCAAACTCCCAACTGCAGGCTGCTATGGTTTCAATCACTCCCATTTTGAAAACTGGCTCCAAATCCTTTTCTTTTCTATTCTTTGTTCCTGTCCATCTTCTGTTTCTCTCTGTCATTCCTATCTTCCCGTATTTTGCCAAGTTGTCAAAAAAAAAAAAGAAGTCAAGATCTGACCTACATCTCAATAGTGTCTACCTCTGCTGTACCTTTCTATTACGGAATCTCTGCCTTTCAAAGGAAGGCTTTATCTCAATTTCAAAGCCATAGGCCATAGCCAGGATTCTAAAGTGACTCACCACCAGAATAAGGTTGGAAATCCTCTGACCTACTTTAAAAAAAAGAGAGAGAGCCATAAAATGGCTATATTCACTTACCACGAACTTGCTTTTTTATTTCTTTGGCAGAATCCAGCCATGTCTGTAAAAAGAAGAAAAGGCATTCACATAGAACTCCAAAATACATTAACCACAGAGAAGCAGGGTTACTGACCATCTCCAATAGTGTCTCCAGGTCAACCTACATTTCCAACATTCTTTGCATTTGTTTCACATAGTATAGCACTTCTAAACAGAGAAACAAGGAGTCAGACAATTGGGCTTGAATCCTAGGTCTACTCCTTCCTGGCTTAGTGATTTTATGCATCTCTGTACCTCAGTTTCCTCATCTATTAGAGGAAATAAAATGCGATATTAGAGGTAGTGCCTGCCTCAGAGTTATTGTGAAGATTAAAAGAGTTAATATATATATAAAGTTTTTAGTAAATAAGAAATGTTAAATAAGCACTTGCTATTTTTATTATTCTGTAAAGCTCTACAACCAGGTTTATTGATGTCACCCAGATCTTAATTTTTCCTCCAACTCTAACCTCCAGTACCATTCAAGTTCTCCATGTCATCACAGTACCTGATACACAGTTCGTGCTCAGTTAATGTTGACTGAATGAATAACTATTTTGCTTTCTCTGATTACTCTTGCCCACACTAATTTCTCCCTTCACTGTTCTCCAACCACAGTTAAAGTCTGCACACCACGAAGGCAGGACTCCTCAACCCACCGTGGACCATGCAAAATTAACAGCACTTTAAAAGAGCCTCACCATTTCATAGGCAACTTGAGAAATGTTTAAAGACAGAAATTTCTAAATTGAACTAAGAGATTTTTTATTGACATAAGACATATACAAAAAAGAACATAAAACATATGTACAGATCAATAAATTATCAAAGTGAACATATACCATTTTCTGCACCCTAGGAGCCCATTCCACGCCTCCTCCCAATCCCCGCCCCCTCATTGTTCCCTCTTCCAAAAGTTTAGAATGGAACTTCAGTTGTATTTAGAAGAGTAAAGTGTCTCTTCCTCACCCTGTACCACCAAGGGTAGAGTCCAAGGTGGCCATCCCCTCCCTACCAAGGAGTGAGCTTGATCACCACAATCTTACATTTGATTATATATTACTTTGAGGGCTCCTCTGGTGGCGTAGATGGTAAAGAATCTGCCTGCAATGCAGGGGACCCAGGTTCAATTATTCAATTCAGAGCATTTTATTTAGCCAAAAGGTATTGGTAGAATACCTCCGTGTGCTAGGCACCAAAGTTACAGAAAAGGATTTAAAAATAGTGATTGTCCTTAAAAAATAGTTCTTGTCCTCAAGGGGCTGTCAGTCTAATGGAAGAGGTGTGCGTCAGTCACTCAGTCATGTCTCACTCTTTATAACCCCACGGACTGTAGCCCGCCAGGCTCCTCTGCCCATGGGGATTTTCCAGGCAAGAATACTGGAGTGGGTTGCCATTTCCTTCTCCAGGGATCTTCCCAACCCAGGGATCAAACCCGGGTCTCCTGCATTGCAGGCAGATTCTTTACCATCTGAGCCAGCAGGGAAGCCCATAGAAAAGGTTAATAGTGAACAATCAATACATCTTTAATTCTTAGAGACAGTTAGAAAATGTTCCTCAAAAGAAAGGGGGAAAGGCCCTATGTTTCCCGAATTCACTAGTCCACTGACTTCCCCAGAAGAGGTTCTTGCAAACATGAGAGAAGCTGAAACTAGATGATGATTCAGAGACATCAACTTTTTTGCCCAGAAATATTTTATCTAAAGAAGGGGGACAATAAGCCCTTTTTTACATAGCCAGATTTGTACTTTGCTGTATAAACAAACAAATTCAGCTTTTATATTGGACACTTTTAACATTACTTTATACATAAACATATCAATTAATATAAATAAAGCAATTTAATGTTTTCTCATTAAAAAATAAATAGGGTAGTAAGAGCTACTATAAGGAAATAAAACTTGCTGATACGACAGAGGGCAGATGACCCGAACAAAGGCGAAAAGTTTTCAATGCAACTAACAGTTTTGTACCAATGTAAGCCCTGGAAGTTCAACTGTAAACTGAAAGAATTTTCATTGCTGAATGCCTTCAGATGAGCGAGTTCCCAGCAATTTAAGAATATTTGGTTCACAGAAAAATTATAACAATGATGTTAAAAAAAAAAAGTAGGCACTGGCACTCAGTGACTTCATTTATATGCCAAATTCAAGTGTTCTCAGCTACTCTAACATAAACCTGAATGGGGTACACACACATAATATAAAAACATTTGATTTTATCTCACTGAGATTGTATAACACAAAATACTTCTCAGAGTATTTTTCTCAGTTCATGGGAGAATTTTCTAACAGCTGCAGAAAGCTTTTCGCTGTAGTTTTAGAGACATTGTTTTTTCAGCTCAGTTCAGTTGCTCAGTCCTGTCCGACTCTTTGCGACCCCATGAACCGCAGCACACCAGGCCTCCCTGTCCATCACCAACTCCTGGAGTCCACCCAAACCCATGTCCATCGAGTCGGTGATGCCATCCAACCATCTCATCCTCTACCGTCCCCTTCTCCTCCTGCCCTCAATCTTGTGCTTTTAGAGACATTGTTTTTTAGTTACCTTCAAACTTACCTTATTAAGTTACACTGTATCTTGGAGAGGCAGGCATAAATACATTCTTAACAACAATAAATGAGTTAAAACAATTTTGGCAACGAGGACCAAGCTAGTTGCTGTAGTTATCCGCTTCAAAATCAGCATAGGAAGAAATACAAACATATGTCTGATAATAAAAAGCAGCAATTTGGGGAGCTCAGTTTCTTATATTTCAAGCAGTCTTCTCACCTTTGAGGTTGCATTATCCCAAATGGCCAGACCAAAGTAGTCTTCCTCCAAAAGATTGAGGTGTTCACACACTCGTTTAAGTAAGTCTTGTCCCTTAGCATGTTTCTGCAAAGATATACATATTTTGATTGAGGTTTCCACTTATTCTTGTATTTATCATGAAATAACATAAAATGTCAGGTTCCAATTTCCTTTTTTCTCCTTGGTTAGGAACACTTTCAGACAGCTACCCAGTGTAAATAGAACAAAATAACAAAAATCCTGTTTCTTAACTTGTCAGTTTAAATATGCCACACAGACATGGTTGCTTGGAAATGGTGCTACAATTCAAAGCAAAATCCCACATTTCCTGCATCGAGCATCCCCTGCCCTCCATCCTAAACATTACATTCTTTATTTTTGGTGCGATATTTCCTGAAGCTTGCTATGGGCTCCTGTCAGTCACTGTGAGCACCTGAAATAGCTAAATTAGCTGTCGACTCTAATAGTTAACAGTGGCTATGGAAATCATCAGACTATCATTCCCAGATCAAAAGCCCCAAGTCAATGAGCTGTGTCTCAACTCACTGCCATCTCTTTCAGAAAAATGCATAAACTATAAGATTTTAGATGCTCTATAGACATTACTCTCACAATTGTGCTCCAAATAATTTCTTAACATTCCTCTACCTAGAAAATCAAACCACCACCAATTTGAGACGCTTGTATTAACATAGGCGGATTCTTTACCAGCTGAGCTACCAGGGAAGCCCTATATAGCATAGATATTACTCTTATAATTGTGCTACAAATAATCTCTTAAAATTGCTCTACTTAGAAAATCAAACCACCACCAATCTGAGATACTTATATTCCTGTTTATAGGGAGCAAATGACGTAACTTAGGGGCTGAGATTTAGAGTCAAAAAGTCCCAGCTTTTTCATTTACTAGCTAAACAACGAGAGCTGATTCAATTATTATTTCTGAACATTACTTTCTCATCTGTAAGATGATAAGAATATTTATATCTGTCCTACCTAACAACTGGAAATGTTGAAAAAATTAAACATGCTAATACCTTCTGAGAAATATAGTTTAAATTTTTCAAAAAATTAGAAATCATTGGCACATGTACACGACACATACCCTTCTCTCAATGAGCTATTTTTAATGACTATTAGTAATTCACATAGTTGCTAAATCATTTTTAGACTTAACCCATCTACATTACATCATTTCTTCATTTTCTCCCTTCTATGTTTCATTCTAAAGGACAGAGATGATTTGGGAATTCTTCACATACAGGTCCCTACTCTCTTATTTATACTTCCAAAATTCAGAAGTTCTAAAAAGTAAAAGGTGACGTTTATTTTGTTTTTGTTCAAAGCTCATCTGAAGGCAAATTCTAACCTGATCCATTATGGGTTAGTTTTTATTTTTATTTATCCAACTTAGAATCTTCATATATTTTACCATAGAAATAACATGCTTGGTCATGTGCCTACTGCTACACACTTGGCTGGGTGTATTATAAAATTTCCAGAGTATGTACTTATTGCTTTTCTAAAGCCCCAAATATTTTGAATACCGAAACACATCTGCCCCCACATGCTTCAGATAAAGGGATTCCTATCTAGATTTTGATCTGAGTGTGAAGAATGAATGTGGAGGAGCTCTCTCCATCTCTAGACTAGTTAGTAGTGAGAAGCAGAAAGAGCAGACCCCAGGTCTCCTTTAGTTACCAGGAACAGTAGCCATTTTTAAAATGCAACAGTGTATTTTTCCTGTTTTTCAAAACTTCAAGAGGGAATTTCTATTAATAAATACAATATAATATTTTAGACTACTTATTTGTGCTTTGATATATTTGCATATAAATAAATCAAATTAAAAATAATGTTATATACCTAAGATACAAGTATATATGAGTTATATGTATTAGAAAAAATCTCAACAATTGCTTTTTATCAGGCATATTATAATTGATAATTACTGCTCTAATTTAAGAAAACAGCTGATAGATTTTCAAGGATTTTCACTTGCCGTGAAGCAAAAGAATAATTGAAATATTAATAACTCTGATTTTTCTATTCTTGATTCAATTATTTATTCTTCCTGGAAATAATAGAAAATTTTAACAAATAGCATTACTTGATGTAAGTTTTTTATATCCTATCTCATGGAGCTAAAGAAATACATTAAATAAACTAAAGCTTATTAAAGTTTAGATCTGGGAGAGCAAAAATGAACATGTAGTAATTTTTTTTTTTTTACAAATACAATTATGGGGACTGCTAGACCTAGAAACTGAGGCTATCCTGGGAAATCTAGTTATGAAAGGTCACTCTATAAATAATCTTTTTTATTTCTTAAAATTATTTTGGGTTATAAAAGTAACACTCAATTCACAATACATATATTTGACAGATATAGAAAAAACTGGAAAAGAAAATAAGACTCACTTATAATCCTTCCACACCTCCACCCCCAAAAAATCACTATTAACATTTCAGTCCATAGAAACAGTCATTATATAGGGTCTTACCTCAGACCATGGCACCACTTTATCCAATCCTACATGAAACAATCTGTAAGCGTTCTAACTACTGGAAATCAAAATGTCCTCACCTCCACCACACATTCATAAACTGTGTCGTCCAACAGAGAGACCTTGCAATGCATGCTTCTATGCCTTCTGATGGATTTCTGGGAAGCTTTCAATTCTCTCTCTGCTTTTGATTCAGGATCTTCTTCTTTTACTTCTATTTTAGAGCACTCCTCAAGTCCTCCTTCTTCCTTAGTCTCAAAATCTGGATCTTCTCTGTGTTCTTCCTGAGCAGGCTACATAGCCATGACATCACCAAGTCAGTAATAAAGACACTTCACAAAACATGCTGTACACTTGTTTGCTTATAATACGGCTACCAATAAAAGCACTAACTGAAGAAGAAAACTGTTAAAACAAATACAAGTTATAAGAAGATTAAATAATTATTTTCCATATAAGATATGATCTCCCCAAAGATCCACAGACTCTGCTAGTCCCAAAACTTTATAAGGTAAAATTTGTTCTTTTTTTTCCTAAAACTGAAGTGGGTAGCCATTCCCTTCTCCAGGGGATCTTCCCGACCCAGGGATCAAATCTGGATCTCCTGCATTGCAGGCAGATTCTTTACCAGCTGAGCCACTGTGGAAGGCCCCTGATATAAGGTAAAATTCTATCTTCAGGTGGAATGTCATTTTTCAAATCAATAAATGAAGGTTTCAGGTAAACTAGAGCATACCAATCTGTTGCTGTCAGCACTACATATTTTTACTGGCTATACCATTATCTATTCTTAAACTCTATCAAGACTTAAACATCTTTGCTCCTTGCTCCTCAATTCTAATGAGGTAGCCTTATGAATTGCAAAACAGGCTGTTATTAGTCATGCGGTCTAAATTTTGTGAATGGCTAAGAGGGGTTCTCGACCAATTTAGAGAAAAGGCAACAGATGTAGTAGGCTAACAATTGCAAATACTAATGATCTAATTTTTCCTAGGTATAAACCATGACAAATGCAAAGAAGATTCAAAGAAGCAAGAGACAGACTGAAATCTAGATCCCCTAGGGCAATCTTTAAGTCATTCCAAAGTAACACAGGTAAGTGAGACATTTTGGCATACCCCTACTTACTTTTAACACAATAAAACTGCTGATTCTTAACTAAACCTCTCTAATCCTTTTCTTTCAAAAGAAAACATAGCTGACATTGGAGAAGGATTTCATTATTTGGCTCCTGCTCCTGGTGGCTCAGATGGTAAAGCGTCTGCCTACAGTGCGGGAGACCAGGGTTCGATCCCTGGGCTGGGAAGGTCCTCTGGCAAAGGCAATGGCACCCCACTCCAGTACTCTTGCCTGGGAAATCCCATGGACGGAGGAGCGTGGTAGGCTGCATGGGGTCGCAAAGGGTCGGACACGATGGAGCGACTTCACTTCACTTCCTCCTGCATTAGATACTACTGAAGTGAAGTCGCTCCGTCGTGTCCGACCCTTTGCAACCCCATGGACTGCAGCCTACCAGGCTCCTCTGTCCGTGGAATATCCCATCTGGCCTATCCCCACTCTACCAGTATCTTCATGTCAGTACCCTGTTTGTTGCCTTCATAACATTTATGACGATAAAGAATTATTTTGTATTTACTACTTTTTTTTGTCTCTTCCATTAGACAATAAAGTTATCAAGAGTAGGGATCAAGTTTATTCAATAATAACAACAACAAACATTTATACAGAAATTACAATGGGTCATTATTGTTCTAAAAGCATTACTTATATGAACTCATTTAACCCTGTGGGGAATGTACCATTATTATCCCCCCTTGACAAATAAAAAATTGAAGGCAGAGAAGTTAATTAGGTAGGATCATACAGTCAACAAGTCACATACCAGTCAGACTCCAGAATTCATGACCTCTTTGCTGTATTGTAGTTTTTTGTTTACCAATCAATGTCTGTCCAGCTTAGGGCCTGGCACACACAGGTTTTCAGTAAATTTGGTGAGTGAATAAAAAAGTATTAAAAAATGACGCATGGTTTCCAAAAAACCCAAAGTACCCTAAGGCCAGTGCAATCCTACAATGCAAACTCAATTTTATTTTATTTTTTTTTGCAAACTCAATTTTAAAAATCCTATATAGAAGAGGACCATTCAAATGAAATTCTACTATGAAATCAATGAGTGAGATTTTAGTTAAATCTAAAATTTATCATCTGTATCAACTTAAATACAAATGTTATGATCTTTAGACAAAACAGACTAATCCTGATTCAAATGCTAACTAAAACAAGATAGAGATTTTTCAGTACATAAAGCAAAGGGGGGAAAAGGCAGCTAAAACCTCTTGAAACTACCAGGCTTCCTGAAACATAATTTAACTCCTTTGGCATTCCTAAAATTAAATTAATGACACTAAAATATGTGGTTTCTCTGCCTTTACTGTTTATATATTTTTATTAACTAAGTAATAATAACTAACATTTATTTGGTGCTTATAGTATGTCAGATATATGTATCTTTTTTAATCCTCATAATGCCCAAGTATGGTGAATTTTATTATCCTCATTGTACAGAGGAGAAAATAAAGCAAAAGTGTCACTTGTCTGTGACTGAATCTTCTAATCATATACTATAAATAAAACTTTGTCTTCAACCTACTTTCACTAATAAGTGAGTGAGGTCGCTCAGTCGTGTTCGACTCTTTGCGACCCCATGCCTCCTCCCTCCATGGGATTCTCCAGGCAAGAGTACTGGAGTGGGTTGCTATTTCCTTCTCCAGGGGATCTTCCCAACCCAGGGATCAAACTTGGGTCTCCCGCATTCCAGGCAGACACTTTAACCTCTGAGCCACCAGGGAAGCTGCTAATAGCAAATATATAATAACAATTTTATCCTAAATTTTACTTAGAACTTTTAATATGCAAGCAATATTTCCAGAAATACATATATTATTTTTTAAATCTAATAAAACTATATAGCCCAAGTCTGAAACCTATAATGGAAACATATAGGACTTACACATTTTACAATGTACATAATGTCCGCATGTTTCAAAAATAAAATACTTTGAAAATAACTCTTAATTTGTAATTTATTAAGCCTGAAAACAAATGACACTCCTAGAAAACAGTTTGAATTGCAGTACTAATATTTTCCAAGTTTTTTGGACAGACGACCAGACTCACAACTCATTCTCAGTTTAAGTACACTAAAAACTAAGCCTCCCCACAACTACTATATATTACAAAGGTGATATAAAAGAGCTAAATTTCTTCATCTATATCTTACACTCTGTGGAAATATGATCTAGCTGTAGAAAACAACAAAGATAAGGCAGACATGGTTCAAACTTATTACCTACTTCTGGGTGGCCTGAATCTATCCCAAGGCTTTTATAAAGATTTCTGTAAAAGAACTATGTTTGTTGATAAATTATCCCATTTCTAATAATTCCACTAAAATGAACTCTAAACCACTTCACTTCCTTCCCCCTCACCATTAAAACTCCCAGACTTGTTCCATTATTGTAGCAAAATATAAATTCATTTGATACATTTCTTTCATTTTCTCTTTTTTTATTTAGACAGTATAAGTATCTTTTTTTAAGTCTTTATTGAATTTGTTAAAGTACTGCTTCTGTTTCATGTATTCTTCTTTTGGCCAGGAGGCATGTGGGATCTTAGTTTCCCCACCAGGGATTGAACCTGCGACCCCAGCGCTGGAGGTGAAGTCTTAACCACTGCACTGCTTGGGAAATCCCCAACATAAGTAAGTATCTTGACCGCGTGAATTTCATTAGAGCAGAAACTCCAAAGCATTGTGTTACTTATTACTAACAATACCTAAGTCAACTAGCTAGTAAGAAATAAAAACCAAATGTTCTTGAAGGAAAATTGTTTAACCTGCTTTCACCTCCCACTCAATCGCATATCCTTACCTGAGTTTCTGCACTGCTTAATGAATGGAGATCCAAGGATGGGTCTGTTTTGAGCTCAGGTTCAGGAGCTGCAATTGGGGCCTTTAAAATGATCTCTTCATCAAGACTAGCTCCAAATTCTATCTCTTTCTGACCTCCTTCACCTTTCTCTTTAGCTGACTCTACTTCTTTGCCTTCCTCCTCAGACACCTGAGATTTAGGCCTTTTGAGAAATGAGGAGAACAGCCGTGACAGGCCCCTGTTTTCTGATGTCCGCTCCTTGTTCTTGGTCAAGTCTTCATGTGTCGGAGTGTCTCCATTAGATGTTTTCAGCTTCTGCTCACACTGATTATCTCCCTCAGCTGCTGCTTGAGAAGCCTCTTCCAACTGAGTTTCCTGTTGACCGGAGTTTGTGGCTCCCTCACCCTCTTCCTTCTGTGGTTGGTGCTGTGGATTTTCAGCCTCAGCCACTAAACTCTTCTCTGTTGTCATGATGTTGCTATTAAAAAGAAGATGGCAAAGGGGGGCTCTTAGAAACAGAACGCATTACTGAAGGCAAAACCCTCAATCAGGTCAAGTGTGACAGAATTAGTATTTTTAGGTATTTAACCACCAACAGACAGTGCTCTCGTCCATTAAACAGGAGACTTTCCATTAAAGCACAAAAATATCTTACCTATACATCCTGGATAAATTATTAATGCTTGACTTGCTAAAGTTATGACATAGAGAAATTAGCTTAAAATAGGACCCCCTGAAAGCCAGCTTAGTGAAATGCATATTTTAAATTCAAAGCTCAAAACTATGTATAGCACAGTTTTATCCTTCCTAAAAAAAGATCTCACTTATACACTATTCTTTGACAGCATCAATCTTCGGGTACAAGGTTTGTAGAAATTATCTGCAAAATTCTCTACATCCCAAGAGATGATGGGATTAAAAGATTCCTCGGCTCTCCAGTCTTATTGTTTATATTTCTCAGAATGCATATTAAGAACAGAAATGTAGAATTCTGATCATTTGTTATCAGACTTGACAATAGCAATGACAAGTATACAGTTAAAATAATCACAAAACAAATTCTTAGGATTTTGTGTTACAACATTAAATTGCCGAAGTCTCTGACTTTAAATTTTTTAAGACCTTTTTCCTTCTGACAAATATGATTTAGAATATTCTTCATTTTTAAGAGCAGCAGTGAACTATTACAAGAGAGGAAAATAGAGAGATAATAGAGAAAAATGAAGATGCAAAATAGAGAAGAAAAATATTGATTAGAAAGCAAATACTGATTCAACTGTGAGAGAAGAGAAAGCAAGCTGTAGGCCTCACATATTTCAAAGTTGTTGGTTTCTAGTCTCTTTCTCTCAAACCTCTCAGTACTATTAGTCAAGTCACATAATAACGCCAAAGAGTAATGTCTCTAAAGGGTAACCACCACACCAGGGAACCACTGAGCAATGAAGTCGACTAATAATGACCTTACACTTACGGCTATACCTAAAAGTACTCCACTCAAAAATCAGTGTTTACAATGCCTTTGCTTCTGCTCCATGCTGTTTAGATGAAGTGATTTAATTCGGAGGCTAAAAATCTGAACTGATGAACCATATTTGGCCAATTCCGTCCTCAGACCCTTTACACTTGCTGTCTATGATGTTCCACTCCTGGATATCTGAAAGCAGGTCCCTTCTCATCATTACTGCCTCTGCTCAGATGTCACCTCTTTAGAAAGGCTTCCCAATCACATCCTATCTAAAATAATGGCCCTCCGGATGGTCTCATAGCATTTATTACTATTTACAATTATCCTGTTAACTTGTTTACTGGTTTTTGTCTTCTTTCCCCCCATTTAGTGACATTACTCTTTGGCATTATTATGCAACTTGACTAATAGTACTGGGAGTTTTGAGAGAAAGAACTTAAAATTTAAGTTCCATGAGAACAGAATAGTACCTGGCACATTACAGGTATTAAAAAAGTCTGTTGAATAAATTAATTTCAATTGAATATACCTGAAAAAAACTGCAACGGTGTTCTCTAAATTATTCAAGTAAATCTACTTCAAATGCTCCCTAGTCCTATGCTAGGGATACAAGAGTAAACAAAACAAGTATGTCTATGTCATCATGGAGTTTATAGTCTTGATTCAACTTTAATCAGTATAATGAAAGAATATTTAAGAGAATTCTTATTTACAATGAGTGAAATCTAAATAATTGTGTATATGTGGAACAAAGCAGTGAAAAGAGAAGGAAGTTAATGGCACCAAGCACTATTTCAGTGCCAGGCCCTGGGGTCAGGGACATTATCTACATTATTTAAAGTAAGCCTTTCAATAACCCTGAAAAGAAATGGAATTGCTTAATCTCATCTCTGAGGAAACAAACTCAGAGTAAAACTGGCCCAAGGTCACAATGATAGCAGGTGACAAACCACTGTAAGTGATATTGAAATAAATAAAGGTATAATAAAAGGAAAAGCCTTTATGTGAGTTCTTACTGCTGATCTACTCAAATTATTCTATTTTGAGCATTAAAAATATTTTTAAATAATCAAAATATTCACAGAAGCATATTCTCCAGTTTCATCTATTAAGTCATCAAAATTACTCTGTGCTAATAAATAACACAATAAGGTCTTTATAAACATTACTTAAATATTTACCAACCAATGTATATTCTGAATTTGCTATCCTTGAGTAAGGTACACTTGTCTTAATTCCTCCTTATATTAGGAGTAGGCAACTGATTTTTCCAAGGTTCTTTTTCTTTAATCTCTAAATAATCAAACTTGACCCAGAAAGAAAACGTGAATATCAAACCACCAGTTACTCTCAAAGAGTTATGATTTGATTTGAGAGCACCGATTTACTTCAAACTTCCCTCACAAAAATAAACAAGAGGACAGGCTGAGGACTGAGCGCTATTTTCCACAGATTTTGGATATGACTTTATCATTCATCTTACTGAAAAGACACAGAAACCACTTCTACATGGAAATGTTCCTACACAACAGACTTTACAACAAGGTCTCTCACAAAGATCCATAAAAAATCATAAATCTTTTGTGAACATTTTAGCAGACATGAAAATCGCTTAAATTCAATTCTAACAATCTTTTACTTGTATTTTTCAATAAATAAAGAGTGTTTTTCTTGTGTTTTAAATTTTTATCATTAAAAAACCAGAAAAGATCTTCTAAGGATATTCCTATGATTTCTTTCCCATGAAAAGATGTCATCTCAGAGTAGCTGAATGAGTATGAGTACTCAACTGTTTAAAATGCATACACGGTTACAATTTGTATGCTATATGTGTGCTTGTTAAAGTTTAATGTGTGTTGAATCACCCAGTAATCTTAAAATACAGATTCTGATTCAGCAGGTCTGGAACGGGGCCTGACTCTACGTTTTTAACGAGCTCCCAGATATTGCCAATGCTGCTGGCCCACTGACCACACTTTGAGTAGCAAGGCAGAGAAAACTATTATTTCTTTGGAAACATACTCAAAATGTCTGAGAAACAAAGATGGGAGAAAGCTACCTTCAGAAAGTGGAATGTGAACAGCAAGAAATAGTTAACACAATAAATGCCCAACAAATGCTTGCTGAATTAATGAATGAGTCAGCAAAGAATGCAGTATACTATTAAATGTGGAAGCTAACCATTAACATGTTTCTAGAACTCATCTGGTATTTAATCAAAAGTTAATCGAATTTTTCTACCACAGATCTGTGGCAATTTCAAGCTGTCCATGCAGCCCTGACACTTGACTACTTGACACTTGACTTTTTCCGTTGATATGATCTCGTGTGAGGCTCCCCTGATGGCTCAGCAGGTGAAGAATCTGCTCCCAATGCAGGAGACATGGGTCCAATTCCTGGGTGGTTAGACAACTCCATTGATATGAATCTCTTTGCCACATTTAGGAAGGAATAATCAAGACATATGAATAAAGAATTAGAAAACATATCTATCAGTACAAAACCAAAACACTTTGCCACACATAATTACACTCATGTTTTTTTAAAAAAAAGCTAAATACAAGTAAAAAAGAGATGAGAATACCATATAAGGAACAGGTAAACAAGCAAAAGGGTAAAAGAATTCTCTTAGAACATACAGAAACCAACCTCAGGTAATATCATAAACGCAAGAAAACAACCAGGGAATCAGACAACACAGATTCAGCAGAGATGCTACAATTCAATCTATACAAGGATAAATGGAATAAAATTAATTATTAACGACAGTTTTCATATGTGCCCTTTCCAGCCAGGCACATATGGGTAGCAATGCATTTACTAAGAGTCACAGGAGCAAAAGGAGGGAGGGAGGATGGGGATGTAACAACTGAAACCAATATATCAGGCAAGTTTCTCCAGTTAACTCTGATACTGATGAGAACTAAACAAAAAATAAATAGCAAAAAATAAAAATAAAGTCCTACGGACCAATTCCTAAAAGCTCAAATAAACTCATCCTGACAAATCTGTTACACATGCAGCCAGGTTCTCCACATTGCAAAAGATAGGATGGGTAACCAGGAAAAGAGATACAAAGAAGTCAAGCAGCAAAGACAGGATAAATGCTCTACAAACAGGCTCTTCCTGTGTAAATGATACTATTTTTATCCTGGATACAAAACCAAAAGGAGTTATCTATTTATTTAATGTCAGAAAGATGTCTTCTGATTTTAAAAAAGGGAAAAAAAGATCGGCACAGCCGAAAAGACAGTGATGAGTGGTCCCGTTCCATCATGATCCTAATCCTTCAAACCCGAGGAATTATACTCCATCTGCTCTCAAAGATACACTTACTTTAATACTGTACATCTGTTGACTTCAGGCAAATCAGATCTTCACAAACCTGATACTGAGCAGATTGCAAGGGCCGGACAACATCTTTCATTTTTTTGTATCTCTTTCTAACAGTACAGTCAGTGCTCCACTAATGTTTTTTAGGTGGAAAACTTGGTAAAAACACTACAGTTTGGAATGACTAAGAAAATTTCCCTTACAGTCACCATTTAATGATAGAATTTAATTATTGGTAATACTCCTCAAACTAGTTCACTGAACATCTATCAGTGTTTACTGGATGCTAATTATATATAAGGTTTTGGCTCAGGTCTTTTCGAGGGAAACAAAAAGGATAATATACAATTCTCAAGGAGATAAGACATATACTGCTGCTGCTAAGTGGCTTCAGTGGTGTCCGACTCTGTGCGACCCCTTAGACAGCTGCCCACCAGGCTCCCCCGTCCCTGGGACTCTCCAGGCAAGAATACTGGAGGGAGCTGCCATTTCCTTCTCCAATGCATGAAAGTGAAAAGTGAAAGTGAAGTCGCTCAGTCGTGTCCGACTCCTAGTGACCCCATGGACTGCAGCCTACCAGGCTCCTCCGTCCAAGGAATTTTCCAGGCAAGAGTACTGGAGTGGGGTGCCATTGCCTTCTCCAAGACATATACACAAATAACCAAAACACAAGGTAGTAC